CCACCTCAAGTGTCTGATTATCAGGAGAGAATCGAGGAACAGCATGCGGATTTTGATAGCAGAACCTCTCTGGATGGTGCAGTAGATCAAGAAGTGGTCAGACTTGGAGTGATGGAGGAGCCATTAAGAAATGTCTCACCCAACCTAGAGCCAAAGCTTTCCAAGAGAGAGAAAAACCGCCTGAAAAGCTTAAGAAGGAAGCAAAGGAAGAAGGAACGCTGGGTTCAGAGACAGCAGGAGGCCAAAGATCTGGTGAGATGTTTCAAAGTCATAGGCAGTGCCAAAGTCTGAATTGCTTCTTTTTCTAATTTGTGAATTTAACAGCTGGCTTGAGAAGTCTGCCTTGCAATTCTGGTCATTGTTCAGAATTTGGGAATTGGCAGGATGAGGAATTGCATTGATAGACATTGCTCTGATCCCCCCCAAAAAAGTTTGTTATAAAAACAAAGTAATTAAAAATTGAAAATAATTTTCGATAATTTTTTCAATTTATTGATTTGATTCATTACGAATGATAGGAAATAACACACAATATATATTTTTTTCTTTTGCATAACATTCATAACAACAAACTGTCCAACATATGTTTATTATTGTGTATAACTATTTAAAATAGTAAAACAATATAAAATAATTTACATCAAGTTTTGTTAACTTAATTAACTGAAAACAAATCCACAATGGAGGTACTCTGGGCCGGTAAATGATATTAAATAAACATTTTTGTTAATAACAATGAAAAGCTCTGGACTTTTTACTATATATTGATCTAAGAGCCAATCACACAGCAGAAATGTGCCATCCATCTCATGTACTCTTTCCATTTTACGATCATTTACCTTCTGGTAGAAGATACAGAACTTTCCGCTGGAAGCGAAACAGACTTAAGAACTCCTTTATTCCAGTGTCAATCAGACTGTTGAACACTGATCGATAATGTATGTAATTCTTTTGCATGTTGGCTTATTTTTAACTGTCATTGTGTCAGAACCTGCTGAAGTGCTGTGTGAGTCCACAGAAAATTTCTCCTTGAGGGACAATAAAGTATACAAGCTAACAAACAAACAATGGGAATCTAAAAGTTTGTTGATATTAGAGATGCACTGAATATTTTTCGGCCAAAAATGTTATGCCATTTAATTGACCCTCTAATTTTTGTGGCTTCAGTTATTGTTGGGGTACTCTTTTAAATCTGGAAGCATTAACACCTCATATTAAATTATATATATGTGGTTATCGTTCAATATATATATATATATATATTTATTTATTTATTTATATATATAACCAAAATGCTCAAGTTCAAATATGATCTGCTGTTAGCATTTTGTTTTTGTTCATAAGCTGGGGGAAAATAATAATAATAATAAATTCTGATAGTGATTTTAAATGGGTTGACTGATACTGGATTTTACCAAAACCAATAATGAGGGACCGAACAGGCTGATAATAAATAAATCAATCAATCAATCAATCAATCAATCAATCAATCAATCAATCAATCAATCAATCAAATAATCAGTCAATCAACCAATCAATCAGTCAGTCAATAAAAAATCATACCAAAAGAAAAAAAAGCATAAAACTACAAGTAAAACAATGCTGAACAACATTATTAAAAAAATGTGCTCTCCTTTAAAAATGAAATACATTTAAAATACTTTAATTATACCTTGTTTATTCATTTATTAAGCAGTGTTAACAGATACAACTTAAAATTATAAAATGTACTTTAAATACTTTTACTTAAAGTCGCTCTTCAGTTGCATAAAGTTGAAGGATTCTCAGCTTTGTTGTGTGGCTCAACATGCCCACCTTGTCACCAATGGTTGCTGTTTCGCTCGCTCTGCGTTAAAATAAAGTGTCGCTTGCTGCTAGTCACTCGTAGTGTAAATGCAGCATAAGGCAGAAAGAGAGTTGTCTAAGCCAAAGCAGAGTGCTGAAGAAATTGCTGATGTGAGATGCTGCCTAAAAGCAGTGGAGCTTTTATTATGCAACAGAAACAGTGCTGTGTTATCATAATAAAACATTTTTAGTTTCTGTGCAGTCTAATAAAACGAACTACATATTAAAGCATCTTTGGTGTTTCAATGTAAAAAAAAATGTAAAATGGAGAAAAATGGAAAATGTGCATTTCATTTACAGTTCAGCATCCTGTTTGCTTGCTCAGTTCTGAATATAACGTTATTTGAGTGCTAAGAAAATGACTATACCAATGTAAAGTATTATTATTAATAGTAACAATGGTGAACAGCTCTAGTTTGTTTAATGCACGAGGTGTCCGATAAGCTATGAATGGATTAGGGCTATTAAACACAGAGCTGTGTTGTGATGAAAGGAGTTCTGGCAAAATGTCAATAATAGATCCGTGGATCAAGACAGGCATAAATCTGCTTAATAGGCTGCTGCAAGAATCCTGAGGAACTTAAAGGCATTCACAGCTGCACATCGCTCCTTCAGCAGATGTTGTTATATTGGGGATTTTGCTTTTTTTTCTTGTTTTGATCCTAAGTAAGCCTTTACATTGAGACTTTGATTTTTTTTTAAATATATTTTAAACTATTTATTCATTGATGTTTTATGTGCAGGCAATGAAGTGGGACCTGACTGGCAGCGATGATGAGGAAAGAGATGGATACACATGTGCCGTGTGTTTAGATGTGTATTACAGTCCCTACAAGTGCCATCCTTGCAATCATGTGTTCTGTGAGCCCTGTTTGAGAACTCTGGCTAAGAACAGGCCAAGCAATACCCCCTGTCCACTTTGTAGGACCCTTATATCCCATGTGCTCTTCCAAGAAGGTGAGAGGAACAGATCTTCAATTTAAAAACAAATCTGTATTGTTTGGAAGAACATTAACCACCTGATGATCTTTTTTCATTCAGAGCTTAATCAAACTACAAAAACTTGCTTCCCGAAAGTGTATCGTTCAAGACATGAGACCTTTCAGAAGATCAACTATTCCAAATGGCCTCTGCCCAACTGTCCGAAGCGCTTTCGCATCTTTTGGGGTTTGTGAAGTGGCATTTGCACATCCTAAACATTCTTGTAATTTCATGTTGGCCACTCATATGGGTTGTAAAATGGCAGAATGCACAAATAAGCAGTAAAATGCTCTTTTTGTAAAACACCATTTAGAGACAAAAACAGCATGTGCACTTCATGTGCTTCATAGCTCACATTGTCACATGATGTTCATTGGGGTCCTTAAACTATTTAGGTTTTCATTGGAATTGCCGATTTAAAATGAGCATATTGTATCACAGCAGAAGACATGCTTTTCAGTGGCAAAATGTATCGAGCTCCTATGTTTTTAGAAATGTATGGAGAAAAAATATTTGCTAAATTAGCCACTTATTGCTCACTGTATTTATTAATGATTTTACGATTTCGTTTTGGTTTATAAGAGCTGTATTTTTTTATCTATGCTTGAGACAGTCACACCACCATATGACAATTTTGAGATTTGAAAATGTAATAACAGCAGTTTTTATAAAGACGTTCATGGTAGACAAAGAAATGTTTAACAATTTACTGCATTTTAAATGATGACAATACTAATTATATATAAAACGCAACATCACGTCAACAAGCCATATTTATTTTCTGTGTTATTTTAGGGTTTCAGAGACATGGAGGCCCAGCCAATCGCTGGCAGTTTCCCCACAGAGCGTTTGGCTTGGATGCGTTGGATTGGGGAGACATGTGGGGCTGGCCGTTTGACATTGACTTTGTGATCATCTCTGTTTACTCTCTGCACTGGGTGATGGCCTTCATCATCTTCTGTGGCCTCTGCTACTTCCTCCTCCTCTGATATCTGGATCCTCGAGCTTACTTTGTTTTCTGTTGCTGGACAAACGATTGTTGACATCTTATCAAGTGCCTCATCCTTTTGTTTCAATGTAGCTTCAAATATGATGAACTGTTATTAAGACGTTGTTCTTCCTGTGGGGAATCCTTTGTGTGTTTGTGGTTTAGGTCTTACGGGGTTTGTGCAATTCATAGATATCACGTTTTAGTTGTTGCCTTATATCATCTGCTTTACTTGACCTGTAAACAGTATTATAATGTGGTAAAAACAAAATAAGCAATAATTCAGGACATAGTGCTTAATCTGTTTGTACACATTTTTTTAAATAGGTTGCCTGTATTTTTGTTGCTGTAATTTGAGCTTTTTAGATGCTTGTCTAATGCTTGTACCAAGGGTTATTATTAAAAGCTGCTGTGCAATATATTTAATGGCCTGTTTTGCACAGTAAATTGTTTGAGAATATTTGTTGTTTCTGTTTTAATGAGTGGGTCAATTAATGAATGTTTTGGAGGTGACCTACAATCACTGCCAAGTCCCATTTCTCAAAGCAAAGAGAATATTTTTTACCCAACATTCAGTGAAAAGAGGACTTAAAATGATATAATACCTGACAAAACTTTTTTTCAAAAATTATTTTTTTTATGAACCCCGAACTTCATGAAACAACGAAGATTCCTACAGTGTTGGAAAACTATTCTAGACACTAAATTTAATGGGCATTTTAAAATACCATGCAAGCTTTTTTAGGAAATCAGGATTTTTTTTTTAAATCGTTAAGTAAAAACCGAGCTAAATTAATTAAATATATTAATTAAATATATATATATATATAATTTTTTTAAATTAATTAATTAATTTTTTTGCTACTAAACACTAATAAAATATTGCAATTTGTGTGTGACACCACATTCAACAATACATAAACCTCCCGAGAGGGTGTTTTCACTAAAGAACCTGTACAGATTTTTTTAAATACATTCCATTAACCCAATATTAACGTTACTGCAACGTTTCGAAGAGGTTTGATAGACAGCAGTTGTTTTGCCAACAATAAAATATACAAGCAACGAATCCGCACGGTTTAAGCACCGCTTAAACAAAATCTTTATTTCTTCTTTTTACTCATACTTTTGTGTTTTTCGACGAGCTCGTTTATCCTTATAGCGGATCCTGCATCTGTGGAGCTCCAGCAGCGGCGCTCGGCCTGGACAAGGGTGAAGGTGACTCGCCTGTTGGTGCGCGAGATGCAGAGGAAGCGTCGCGGACACTCGCTCCGCTCCTTAAAATCACTCTAATCATCGACAACCTGCGTCCACCTCACCTTCTCCTCGATGACACACGGATTAAAGCCATTTTCTAAGTGAAGGGGTTTTATTCGTGGATGCGTATGCATGTGTTCTGCACCGAACGGGCGAAAGAACCGCCCCAGATCCGCAGCCAACATTTTTCAGATCGGCAAGTCCTCGGTGAGGGATCCGGAGCGGCGGGAGAGCACCGAGAGCGCGCGAAGAGCTCAGCGGGCGATGGATGACTGTCGAACGGTGAGCGCACTCTAAAACAACAGCTTTCACTCCACCATGGATGCTAAGCTGTCGTTGGTGTCTTCACATTAAAATACTTTGTTTAATACTAGTGATGGACAATTGCAGTAGACTGATATTAACACGTTAATGGAATACTGTAATGTCGATGTATTAATTGTTGACTCCCTTTGCGGAAGAATAACATCTTATGTTTCATTTAAAGTGTATTGTTCCTTGTTTGCGTTTTCATATTGCACCATTGTTTGGAAATTACATTCCTCTCCACAATCCCATGTGTTGCTATGTGGCATCTAGATGATGGCAGCTAAACTCCTGCTTACCCTGCTGGAAAATCCAGTTAAAGCTGTGTGTTTTGGAACATGGCAGCTAGTTCAAAATGTTCAACCAGCTATAAGCTTGACAACCAGTTAACTGTTTTGGTACTGGTGTACCAAGGCAGCCTCCATGTTCCAAAATTGGATTTTCCAGTAAAGATATATATGTTCACTGTCTAAAAATAGACTGAGAAGGATTTGTCTCATTTTTTTAGACGGTTCAGGAGTTCAACACTCTCGTGGCTCTTCATCGTGAGCAGGTCATCTCCATAGGAGAGAATACAACCGACTGTCCTTCTTTAAGGGCACAGATGCACAAGACTCGCGTCAAAGGATGCGCCGTGGCCCAGGCTGCCTATCAAAACCTCATTGCAATCTCTGGGTAGGCATTCATCTTAGAATAGACATGCAGTTTTAAATATCTGTCTGTATGATATATCTAATGTTGTGTCTGTTTATCTCTCGTAGGCCAGAGGATGGCGAAATCCACCCAGAAATATGCAGGCTCTTCATCCAGCTTCAGTGCTGTCTGGAGATGTACATTACAGAGATGCTCAAGTCGATGTGTCTGTTGGGCGTTCTGCAGCTCCATAGGAAAGGTGTTGTGTCAATGACAGCCAGCAGAGGACAGCAGATTCTTTACATAAGCAGACATGAGTACATAGGGCTAATGTACTGCATGCCGAAATACTACTGTCAGTTTTAAGGTGGCAGGGATTGCACAACAATTACATAAAGCAGCTCCTCTGGGACGTCACAACAAAGCATAACTTAAAACCGTCTTTGTTTCAGGAAATGACATGTGTCCTGAGCTAAACATGGACTGCAGGGTAGACGAAAGCTCTGATGTGCCCATGCTGGAAGATCGTTCGTCGTCACCGGTGGATTTTCCACAGGACTCCTGGGTGGTGTGCGCAGACATTGAGAACATAGAGAGGTATGAAAAACACCAGCGGATTAAGAAAGACATTGTTTTTTTTCTCTGCTCATTTTTTTGGTAGTAATTTCGAGCTGTTTCTCAATAAGCAATGCTAAAGCCAGATTCACCCAGTGCAATTTCTAGCATTTAACATATGTGAACACTTTGAAATCTCAGTGTTTATTAGAAACATGTTCAAAGACTGAGCCAATTTCTTATGCAATAGAAACGATCTCTAGTGTCATTTTGATCCTGTCTTGATGATATGTGTTGAGCAAGTGTTGTGTTTTGTTGTCGTCACTCAGTGCATAATCAGGTTCTGGGGTCCGTTCTTCGTACGTGGATTACTTAATTAGCTGGATTTGGATATTGACGATTTGACACGATCCAGGATCATTTCGTTCTTCAAAGCTGATCCGAGAGTTGTTGTCATAGCAACAGTTCTGCTAGGTCAAACCTGATCGGGAGCAGGTTCAATTCATGTAAACAGGATTAGATCGGCTCAGTTCAAGCAAAGATAATACAGAAAGTATGTTCTGAATTCTGATATTTTCTTACAGTAGTAGTTATATACACTTGGGAAAATGGTACATATTTTTAACTATATATATATAAAGTTATAGTCATTAATGAAATAAATAAAGTTATACATATTAATAAAACTTTTGCAATCTGCACCCTCGAAATGAAAGTACAAAGACTGCCACCTGGTGGTGCAAAGAGAAAACTTATTGATATGAACGTTTTAGATCACTTTAGTACAAATTGTGTATGATAGAAATGCAGAATATGTGATTTTTTTTTTAAAGCATTAATACATTTATGCAGTCATAAACATGTTTTGATAGTTAATATGCCAGTGATTTGATGCTTCACAAAAGTTGCAGACGCCTTTACCAATATCAAAAAGCTTTTGTAAACAACCAGTTATTCTTTACACCGATTAAAAAACGGCTACTATAATATAGAAAATATTTTCTAAATGTAGAACTAAATACATTGATATGCACTGAAATACATGATGAATACTCTTGACACAAGAAAGTGTAAAGCCTGCAGCTCACAACAAATGTGGAAGGTTATTGCGTGTCATATTTAACAAGCCGTTTACTGCTAATTTGATGTAATTTTGCTCACATGGATAATTGAATATTAATCAGATGATGTCATTACGCTGCTGTGCCGTCAGCCAATCGTTGCATTGCTGATCATGATTTCGAGGATTGATAGATCCTTCACAACACACGCAGCGATCTCAGATCAGTTTATCCAGACATTCTAATCTGATTCGCGAACTTGTTTGAAGAACCAAATTAGCGAGAGATCAGTTATCGAGATGAAAAGATCCAGGATCTGCCAAATCATCTTAGATCATTTAAGCGAGGTACGAAGAATGGACCCCTGTTCTCCAATGGAATATTGATATGATATTTGTCAAATCTCAAATCTGTGCCTCAAATCGTCTGACGCTGAGGTGAAATTCAATTGCAGCGTTTATTAATCAGAGGTCTGAGATCATGACCAAACCATGCCTAAAATTACACATTGTTATCTTAAACCATTCTGTATGGCTTAAACCACTAGTCTAGTCAATCTTTCCTGAATTGACTTACTTTGATTCAAAGTAACGCGTATTTAAATTGTGATATATATGATCAGTGTGGGTAATACTACTACTGCTAATAATAATAATAATAAAAATAATGGCCAAATATAATAGTAATGGTTTATAACCAGTATTTATGAGTGTAAGAACAACATGTTTAAATTTTTTTACTATGAATTCACTTCAAATTTGTAGAATTTTTTACACTCACCGGCCCTTTTATTAGGTACACCTGTCCAACTGCTTGTCAACGCAACTTTCTAGTAAACCAATCACATGGCAGCAACTCAATGCATTTAGGCGTGTAGACATGGTCAAGGTGATCTGCTGCAGTTCAAACCGAGCATCACAATGGGGAAGAAAGGTGATTAAAGTGACTTTGAACGTGGCATGGTGGTTGTGCTGGTCTGAGTATTTCAGAAACCGCTGATCTACTAGAATTTTCACAAACAACCATCTCTATAGGGTTTACAGCAGGGGTCTCCAATCTCAGTCCTGGAGGGCCAGTGTCCCTGCAGGGTTTAGCTCCAACTTGCCTTTACACACCTGCCTGGATGTTTCAAGTATACCTAGTAACACCTTGATTAGCTTGTTCAGCTGTGTTTGAATAGGGTTGGAGCTAAAATCTGCAGGAAACCGGCCCTCCAGGAACAAGTTTGGTGAGCCCTGGTTTACAGTTTCTGGAGGTGAATGGCCAGACTGGTTCAAGTTGAAAGAAAGGCAACAGTAACTTAAATGGCCTCTTGTTACGACCGAGGTATGCAGAAGAGCATCTCTGATTGCAAAACACATCCAACCTTGAGGCAGATAAGCTACAGCAGCAGAAGACCATATCAGGTGCCACTCCTGTCAGCTAAGAAATGGAAACTGAGGCTACAATTTACACAGGCTCACAAAAATTGGACAATATAAGATTGGAAAAATGTTCCCTGGTCAGATGAATCTCGATTTCTGCTGCGACATTCGGATGGTAGGGTCAGAATTTGCCGTCAACAACATCAAAGCATGGATCCATCCTGCTGTATCAACAGTTCAGGCTGCCAGTGGTGGTGTAATTGTGTGGGGGATATTTTCTTGGCACATTTTGGCCCCATGAGTACCAATTGAGCATCGTGTCAATGTCACAGCCTACTTGCGTATTCTTGCTGAACATGTCCATCCCTGTATGACCACAATGTGTCCTTCTTCTGATGGCTACTTCCCTTCAGAAGTAGCCAACAAATGAGTTCACTGTACTCAAATGGCCTCCACAGTCACCAGTTTTCAATCCAATAGAGCACCTTTGGGATGTGGTGGAAGGGGAAATCGCATCATGGATGTGCTGCCGACAAATCTGCAGCAACTGCGTGATGCTATCATGTCAAATGGACCCAAATTTCTGAGGAATATTCCAGTACCTTGTTGAATCTATGCCATGAAGATTTAAATAGTTCTGAAGGCAAAAGGAGATTCAGCCCGGTACTAGTAAGGTGTACCTAATTAAGTGGCCATTAAGTGTAGATTGTATAGAGTATATTTTTAATTATTTCCTAGTACTGTGTTGTGGCTGGAAGCCCATCCACTGCATAAGACATATGCCGGAATAGTTGGCGGTTCGTTCTGCTGTGGCGACCGCTGATAAATAAGAGAGTAAGCCTTCGGAAAGTGAATGAATGTGCTTTTAATTATCAATAATGTAATGTAAATTGAAAGATCATTGATTGAGTATTAGGAAATTATCATCAGTCAATGTTGATTATTAGCTGACAGATCCAGAGCCCCCTTACCCCAAAATACTGAATGCTTGTAAATCAATTCAACCATGACTCCTTTTTGCAGTGAGCTCAATTGATGTCCTATATTGTGAAATGTCTTCCAGTGACATGCGAGAAATGAGAAACCTTCTAAGCAAACTCAGGGAGACAATGCCTTTGCCATTGAAAAATCAAGGTCAGTCTCAAACACCCAGGATTTTATGCTCAATTTGTGAGAAATGTATTATGTCTCGTAATGATATGTTCATATGACCAGAATAGTTTTGTTTAATTCTCTATTTTCTTGTGTGTAGATGACAGCAGTCTGCTGAATCTGACTCCTTATCCGCTGGTGAGGCAGAGGAAGAGGCGATTCTCGGGGCTCTGCTGCCTTGTGTCTGGCTGACCCTTCAATGCTCTCCAGTCTTCATCTGATCAGTTAGTGCTTCACTCGTCTCCTTTATGTCTCTGGAACCGTTTCGCTAATGTAACTTGTCTCTGGACAGTGTCAAAACTACTTAATCAGTTGTTGGATGACAGAATCCCCTCGACTCATATCCCTGCCTATTGAATACCTAAGCTAAATCAATTGTCCAATTTGAGTTACCCAGAGGTTCGTTTGTTTTGTGCTGTGAAACCATTTGATTGTATAAAAAAAGCAAGTGAATGAAGTAAAATAATAACATCTGTATCTGATTTTGTTTTCTCATAGTCAGAGCTAGTTGTCAGTGAAATGAAGGGCAGGTTTAAATGTAAGATGTGTACTGTTTTTCATCAGATTGCTTCTTTTTGTTCTTTTATATATGAATTTACTCACTGTGCAATGCTTTTAATTTAGTCTTCCATAAAGGGGAATTGTTGTTTAAAAAATGGATACTAGTCATTTTATAGGGCACAAGAGCGCTCTGCACTAAAGCCATTGCTTTCTCATTCTAAGCTTGAAACAAATATAACACAATAAAATTCACTATGTACATAATACCAATAATTGTAAATAAAACATTGTATTTATTACGAAGGATTTATTTTTCGTTTTTACATTCTAGACATCTGGTTTGTGTGAAGAAATCTTTTTTTCTGAGGGTTTGATTTGACACTGCAAAAAAGCTTTTCTTATTTAGAGTTTGTGTCTGTAGTTTGTTATTTCTTATTTGTAGTCCAGATATCTAAAGATTCTTAAATGAAAAAAACATTTTGTAAGCATGTAAAAAAAATTCCCGAAAATATAAATGAAAGATTACGTTGTTTTTTTCATAAAACAAACAAAATAATCTGCCAGTGGGGTAATTATTAATACCAACCTCTCCAAAGCAATCATGTTTACGAGATCTCTTCCCCACGTACCAAATTTAGGTACAGATTCAGCTTTTCACATTCTCAAAATTCCCTTTTTGGCAGTGATACCATACCAAATAACATGGCTTGTCTTTCATATTTATTGAACATCTCTAAGATACTAAATATCCCAAGAACAGCTATAAGTGAACATGGATTTTTGGAGGGCTTTGATGAAATAATGAAAATAACATTTAATAAGAATAAAGCAAACCCTATTTTGGCATGTAGAAAGGCAATAAATTAGTCCTGTAATAACATGTTTTCCATGTACTCCCTGTTCACATTCCCTTTGTCTAAAGCCAAGCCAAATGTCAAAGTGAAGAGTTGCAGCTGTAGGGCTTTACTGGAAGTAAAGGGGGATGGAGATATTCTGGACAGAGAGTCAAGAAGGCGTGCTGACAGACAATTCATAAGGGACAGAATAAGCTCCAGAGCAACTGATTCTTGATCATTTTCATGTTTACTTTTATTGCGATTGGACACAAAAGCTGTTCGTGAAAGTGCCACTTTTGGAGGAGTCTGTAATTCTGTGAGTATTCCTCAATCTCAGACACTATTAGCTTTCAGCAATTTGTCTCAAAAATCGTTCAGAGGATATGTGTTAACTTTATTGAATGCTTAATGTCCATATTTTATCATGTTTTTATTCCTTTCTTAAGTAAAAGTTTGCTTCACAATATACTGTTTTACTATTTAAAAGCTGCTTCTGAGATCGAATTTCTCAACACAATCTCTGTTTTCAACCATAGTTTTGCAGTGTCTAAATGTTTAAAATTGTACAAGTTGTACAAACGTCAGCAGCCTAAGCAAGCAAATTGTTAATTCACGTTGCTGATGTTTACAATGCTTACGATGCTAAAAGCATGCTAACGTATGCTAACAATGTGTTAACCATGCCACATAAACGTGCTAGCAATGTGCTACTTCAGACTATAATGATGCTAACCATGCTTTTTAAACACTTTTATTTACATTTTAAATATAGAAATTATAATATTCTCTTTTACAATTGATTCTTCAATCCAGATATCTGCTGAAACTAAAGATAACAGTCTTGTACATTTGCAGTACATTTTACTATGTGTTTAGGCAGGAAATGCAACATATTTATTTACTATTTAAAAGCTGCTTCTGAGATCAAATTTCTCAACACAATTTTTGTTTTTAACCATAGTTTTGCAGCCATAGCCATATCACCTTGCAGCCCAAGACCGGTTACTCGCTGAAGCTAAGCAGGTCTTAGCCTGGTCAGTACCTGCATGCGAGACCACATGGAAAAACTAGGTTGCTGCTGTACGTGGTGTTAGTGGGGCCAGCAGGGGGCGCCCAACCTGTGGTCTGTGTGAGTCCTAATGGCCCAGTTAGCTTAAATGGGACACCATATTGTCAGTGGGCACCGTCTTTTATATGGGACGTCAAGCCTGACTCTCTGTGGTCATTAAAAATCTCATGGCTCGTCTCGTAAAGAGTAGCGGTATGACCCCAGTGTCCTGGCCAAGTTCCCTCCATCAGCCCTTAGACATCATGGCCTCCCAATCATACCCGCCCACCAAATTGGCTCTATCACTGTTGCTGGTGTGTGGTGAGCGCACTGGTGCTGTTATCCTGTGGCTGCCGTCACATCATCCAAGTGGATGCTGCACACTAGTGCTTCATGATTGTAAAGTGCTTTGGGTGCATGGCCACACACAATAAACACACTATAAAAATACACATTACATTACATTAGTGTCTAAATTTGTAAACATGTTTACAATGCTAGAAGCATGCTAATTTATGCTAACAATGTATTAACCATGTAACAAACAAGCTAGCAACATGCTAAGACCAAATCCCAATTCTAGCCCTTAGCCCTTGTTCCAGTTCTCTTTAGCTTAAAGGTGTAGGGCCAAGGGGAAGGGCTAGATACCTCTTCAAACAGACATTTTTCAGGACCACTCTCGAAACCAAGGGGTAAGAAAATTTCCCAGAATACACCAGCTATAACGGCAGCATGGCAGCACTCGGAAGTAAAGAGATCCACAAATTAGTATTTTTGGTCATTATTACAAATTTTTACTAAAAACAATCTTGTTTTAATACATTCATAATGGTGTTTGTGTTTATCCGTCATGCTTTAAAAAAATGCTAAAATATAAACTGCAAAATTTTGCGATATATTATTTATAATCATAACTCCTGTACAGTTGTCCCACAGCATTCAGACACTCGATGACACTGGAATACCCCATCAGAAAAGTCTGGTGACTGGGAATGACCTTTTCACAGTGTCTGCTGTAGTATAGCGCAGTAAAGTTACGATCTTATTGCCCCATTAGATCATTATGCATAATATATGCCTTTAATGATTTCCTGAAGATAAATACCAAAAAATAAACCAACTGGAAAAACTACTTGGGAAAATACAACACACTGATTTACTATTTAAAAGTTGTTTATGAGATCAAATTTCCCAGCACAATCTCTGTTTTCAACAATAGTTTTGCTGTGTCTTAATATGTAAAGATTTTAAAACAAGTTAGCAAACGTCAGCAGCTTATGCTAACAAATAGTTAATTCATGTTGGAAAAGTTTACAATGCTAAAATTATCCTAACAATGTGTTAACCATGCAACAAACATGCTAGCAACATGCTAAATCAAACCATGAATACCATGCTTTTTAAACACTTATTAACGTTACATTTTATATATAGAAATTTATATTTACATTTTGCCATAATATTCTCTTATACAATCAATGCTTCAATCTAGATATCTGCTTAAACTAAAGATAACAACCTTGTACATTTGTAGTTCTATTTTACTCTTTGTTTACTCAGGAAATCCAACTTAGGATTTTACTATTTAAAAGCTGCTTCTGAGACCAAATTTCTCAACACAATTCCTGTTTTCAACAATAGTTTGCAGTGTCTAAAAGTAAACATTTTAAAACAAGTTAGAAAATGTCAGCAGCTGATGCTAGCAATTTGTAATTAGTGTTGGAAATGTTTTCAATGCTCAAAGCATGCTAATTATGCTAACAATCTGTAAAACATGCTACATAAGCATGCTAGTAACATGCTAAATCAGATCTACCTTTTTTTTTTTTTTTTACATTTTATACACACTTAAACATCCCATTACTCAACCCTGATATCTGCTGACTTAAAGATGACAATATTTATTTATTTATTTATTTATTTATTTATTTATTTATTTATTTATTTATTTATTTATTATAAATTATTTATATATATATATATATAAAAAAAAACAATTAGCTTTCGTTAGCTAAAAGATTCATTCTAATGATTTGTGTTTGACTACAGACGCCAGTTGTTTATGTATGTCATTGGAAGTTTAACAAACTCTGTGTTCCCCTATAAGCTATCAATTTCCAACAGGCCTTCTTCTCTATGGATTGTACTTGCATTCTCCTTGCCCTACTCTCCACCCTGGCTTCTTTAAGTCCCACTATGGGGTGTTTCTGTGATCATTACCCATGGAGTACCTGGTCCCAATGCACTAAAACCTGTGATTCTGGTACTCAATCACGTTTAAGGTAACAATTATTGAGCATTTATCTGATGTGTAAAGCTTAATGTTGTGATGTAAGTACATGTATTGTTGCAGGGATGTCCAGTATGATGATCACTGGTTTAAAAACAGCTGTTCCCAGCTGTGTCAGATACATGATAATAGAGTGTGTAATGTTGAGGCCTGCCCTATAAACTGCCAGCTGACTGAGTTTGGACCCTGGTCCGAGTGTTCATCTTGTGCCAAAAAATCAGTGAGTAAAACACACACACAGTTTAAAATGAGTTGCTCTGGGTGCTCACATAGTTTTCAGTGTTTGAGTTTTTGCATTCTATTGACTTTTTTCTTTCACATTCAAGAGGGTGCAGTCAATGGAACCTTACTGGCTCAAGACTCACATTGCAGATCTCATTCACATTCATTGATTTTTAGCTGTAAAAAAAAAACAGCACAAAATTCAGCTTGATGTTACAAACTCGTGTGTTGTTACTAGGTATAGTCATAAAATATTCTGCTGTAGGCGAAATGAATCAGAAATCAAAAACAAAACATTTGCAGAATAAGAGCGCATAAGCAGAAAAAGGTCAGTACAGATAATTAGCATAATGCAAACTGCTGTGTATATCCTATAAATTTCCAAATTGCTAATTATTTTGATATATCTAATTTGTGTACTTTCTGCAATATACATGAAGAGACTTTATTTAACTTATTCTATAAATAAACTTATAATAATGAAAAACTCTTTGAAACAACATTATTTTTTATTTATCATCCTTATTTAAATATGATTTACATTTGTCTATAAAATATATATTTCTGTATTTCTCTGGTTATGATCATGCTCTCAATTTTATTGTTATTTTTTTGCGTTACACTGTAAATTGTTTATACACAATAATAAGTTCCTAAAGGCAATACCTAGACTTAATACTTTCCATGCTGAAATTTTGTTTTTCTTAAGCTTATTAATAACAATAAGAAGAATATGTTTCTTAAAGCTTATGATAATCTTAATGATTGAGGCTTTAAGTTTTTGTGTTTGTGTGTGTTGTCGTTGTTGTTTTTCTCTTCTTTCTAAATTTTATATCATTGTATTTTTTCTTCAATGCAGTGACGTTATTATTCTTGTATTTAATTATAAAAAATGCAAACTGCAGATAAGCTGCTTTTTCACACTGACTGACAATGCATTTTACTTCTGCACAGTATGTGGCTCAACTCACTATTGAGATGATCTGCTTTACTAATTTGACTAGAATAATGACTTTTGTGCAAATGCAGCAGTTCAGGGCACATCATATAAGGTCAAACCTAGTTTGATGGCCCGTTTCAATGCAAAAACTCACTTTAGCTTGATTTTAAAGGACACCTATTACGAAAATCTTGTTTTTGCAGTTAGGACAGAACTGTGTGTAGGTATAGTGTGTCCTGATCCAAATCCTATCCCATTTTGAGGCCCACCGCAACATGACATAGGAGTGTGATTTCCCTGCCCACCAAATTGATTGACAGCCGTGCATTAACATGTATTCGAAGTAATATATTCATATCAACAAGACAGGATATGCACAAAGCAACTGGAATTAAAGGATCTGTTCAGCACTCTGTGATCATCAATCATTATCAAATGTGATCAAGAATGAGTTTTACAAGCTTAAAAGGTTTTTAAAACAGTGCATGGTTGTAATGAATTACAGCGATTTACCATCTTTGCTTCATCACTACAGTCACATGTCAGTACAATTATAAAAGAAGACGCTTCTATCCCGGTTTGCGGACGTTAAATCAGGTTAATTTTCTACAACATAACAGATGTCTATTCAGCAGTGTGTATTAAAGTCTATCCTGTCACATTTCCGTGCAAAGTTAAATGTTAAACCTTCAGGAACTGAGTTTGCCACCCCTGCTCTTAACCATGTTGTTTTTCAAAATATTGTGCTGTTTGTGATTTAGTTCAGAATCAGGTCTGTGTTGAGGCCATCTCAGTTCGGAGGGGCCGACTGCAGTCAATCTCTTATGGAGGAAAGAGCCTGTCATCCTTCCAAGGAATGCGGGATTGAGCCTTTGAACTGTAAAGACAAGTTCACCTGTGACACTGGTACATCAGCAACTTCTGCTACATAATCTACTGATCTAGCAAGTTTGTACAGTCCTTCAATGCAGTGTTCTAGAAAACTTGGGACAACCAACTTGTTTTTTTTTGCCACCAAAGGAAGATGTATACATGCTGATCTGCAATGCAACGATCAGAACGACTGTGGTGACAACTCTGATGAGAGAGACTGTGGGCGCATTAAAAGTGTGTGTTCAAATCAGCGGATGTATGCTTTCGTCCCTGGAGCAGACCAGATTGGTTTTGGGTGAGTTACAGATTAAGATCATTTACTTTCTGAGACTGCAAAAAAGCTAAATGGAAAACATTTAGGGTGTTGTCAGCAAAACATCTCTGGATAATCGGAGAATGTGCTTGATTTAAAACTGATAATGATTTAAATTTTAATGATTAAATCAGATTTGATGCTGCAGCGGAGCAGATGAGAGGTGCTGTTCTGGACAACTCGTTCATGGGAAGTAATTGTACTGTAGAAAAACAAAAGAGGAACTTCTACAGAATCTCAGCCAACATTGAAAGATATGAAGTCAAGGTCAGAAAGTACTTTTTTCATGCTTGAAATATTTGAGTTGTCTAGAGTATGTATATCCAAATAACTGGGATGTGTAACATACATTTATAATTATTATTTATGATCAATTTAAACACATAATTACTAATATGGGTCATTTAATAAGTATTGCAAAAAATCTTTATTAATAGTTCTTATAAATGATTTTAAAAGCTATAATTGATGGAGTTTTGGACAGTACATTATCATCTTGCAGTGCCAAATTTGTGTGGGGAGAGCTATTTCTTTAATTTTGTACAGCAAAATAACATAGATAAAAATTTATTTTATGCATTTATGTGAGCAATATTACATGAGTAGCAGTGTGATATGGTTATATATTGACACTGGTGGGAGGTGTGCATTGGCTTGAGGCCGCAGACGGAGTTACTTAGTGCTCCCACCAGTGCCGATATACAACCATTTCGAAATGCTACGAGTGTGATATTGCGTTTATACAACAGTTTGACAGCATAATCGTGTGTATAAAAAAGAAAATCAAACACGGAAAAGTCTCAAAAACGCTTTTGTATGAGGAACTTCTTTCTTACCCCACTCATTCAGTCATCTGCAGCTGACGTCAGAACGGCAGAAACTGTTGCTAGTTGACAAACGTCACTAAAGCTAGTGTTTGAATGATTCTCTAGCATAATATCTAAAGTGATGACAAAACAGCTGATTTTTGCTCAAGGTTTAAAATTGTAAGGATGAACGGCATGAAGTGTCATCAGTCTACAGAAATTTCCCAGTATTTCTCTGTTGCAATCGGGATTTCACAATAATCAACCCCGGAAAAAGCCAGAGCAAAGCAAACACGATCAGTTTCTGTAGTATAAATACAACAATACAAAATACAAAAAATACAACTTTAAAACCTGATTTATAATGATTTGTTCAGCTGCAGTTTGAAACTTATGCTGAGAAAATGCTGTTTTTCTCCCTAAGGACTTATTATGTGGTCTCTGTTGCCATCTTGTGGCGTAACATCAACCGTCACTTTCTTTGGTCTGCTCAGACAGGCTGATGGCGGCCGACATACTAAATCTAATGCTCTGAAAGGATAAATATTTTAAAATATGTGCTATCCTTTTAAATTGCAATCTAAACAACTACATTCTCAACTAAAACAGCATCAAAAGTACATTATTTTGTCCAACAGCAGCAATATTTTTTCAAACTGTAGATTGTGCTCTGCTTGTCGCTGTACAAAGATAAATACACTAGATATAGCATACTGACCCTGAGCATGTGTCAATAGAGTCGCCACATTTGTACGGTGCTCCCAGCACAAATGTCATTCAGCCGCACTAGTCAAGATTAAAGCCAATGTGAAGATGCTGGACTTGCACTGTGTACGTGTGTAGTAACGAGCAAACAAACCATAAAGGCAGAACATTTCAGAGGTAAGATTTAGTTTTTTCACGTTTTTGTATGTTACAAACTTTTGTGCTCAACAAATAACGTTATTGATGATAATACAGTCTCTTACTGCACTGACCATAAGGTAAAGTAGCACCAACTCACACTAAATACTAGACTTATGCTAGTTTTGTTGAATAAAATAAGCAAACAATGTAAATGAAATATGACAACAAGATGCTGAGGTGCCGGAAACTTGTCTTATTGTTGCCTAAGTGAATAGGAGTCATTCACAAATGAATCGCTTACTTCGTTAGAATGAGAAGTGAAAGCAGGAGAGGAGATGTGTTTCAGGACATGAATTAGATCAAATTTAGAGGATAATATATTTCCATGCACACAAACACACACTCTTTGTCGGCGATACCCATGCGATCACTTATGAAGTGATATAAACTTGTAATTTTTGTAATTTAAAAAAATATTTGCATTCGGACCACCGGGAAAACTCCCGATCATATATATATATATGTATGTATGTGTATATATCTTGTGCTCTGGATGGCAGTCCTCCGCTGCACCTTGGTCCCACATTCATTTCCTTGAGTGCTACCTTGTAGTAAAAAGGCGGTTATATTGACACATTGCTTCCATTGGACAACAATAGCATAGGCGACATCTAATGTAAATATCTATGGTCTTTGTATGTGGGCGGAGTAATACACAAGGGTGAAGAGTGCTGTTATTTCCAGAAAATCACACAGCCATCAACCAATCAGATTCAAGAACCAGACCGAGCTGTTGTATAAATATATTTAATTATTGGTCAAAACAATTATCATCTGCTTATAAGTAGTGGCCAGAATTTTTATATTGGTGCTGTATTGTTTTGTCACAAAATTATTACCACTAATCAAAATTCAGTCAGATTTTATTTGCAATTCCATAACAAATCTTTTTATCTTTGGATGTCAAATAAAAGATTTTTAACCTAAGAGATTTCTGTCCTTTTATTAATGTCTATTTATTCCTAACTCTACAGAGTGTTTTATATATATATATATATTTACAATTCTATTTGCTGAAATAATAAAAGAAAAACTCCAGGATGGTGTTATCAAGGCTTAAAAAAAAAAAAGGAAAAAAAGTGTGAGACTGATAACGACAGCCAGAGGAGTGAACAACGTCAAATTTACTCTCAGCCCTATAGACGTTGCTTTAAAAACAACTCACATAAGCGGTAATTTGTTTTTTGTAATTTGACACAAAGATGATATAATACATACATATATGCATATAAATGTTCACGTATTTCATACGTCTTGTGAAAGAGATACATTATTGGTCACAGAAGCTCTAGCATGCTTGCTTGATTCTTAAGGACCAATGAGGTTTAAGCATGTCGCACAGCACATTTGAGCTTGAACAAGAACCAATGAAGTCTGTTCACATGTCAAGCAGACTTAGTCAAACATCCTTTTACATTCACTTGTCAGTGTTTAAAGCAATGGTCTCAAACTCAATTCCTGGAGGGCCACAGCTTTACATATTTTAGTTCCAAATAACCTCCAACTCACACCTGCTTAATAGTCTCTAGTATTCTTGAACACCTTGATTAGTTGGATCAGCTGTGTTTGAGTAGTGTTGAAGCAAAACTGTGCAGAGCTGCGGCCCTCCAGGAATCAAGTTTGAGACCTATGGTTTAAAGACTAAAGATAAAACCTACTTGATGCATATATTAATGTATTTTTTTATCTCAGCAGATGGACAGGAATCTCTCAGATTTGATTAAATGTTTTTTATTTTCAGAACAAAAAACGTTTAGTTTTGGAATGAATGAGTTTGATAAAATTAGGACAATATTTCAATTTCAAATGAACCCTTTTATGACTGGCTTTTTTATTTGATGGCATTTCCAGGTCGAAACCCTTGAGGATTTTCAACCAAAAGAAACCAAATCCCAAAAAATCGATCTGGCCAACGAACCCCTTTACAGGGAAGCAGTGAAAGCATCTCAACAAAAGGTGAAGGTTCTTAAACAATGATGCTTTTATGCCCTATTAATATGTTCACAGCTAAAACAAAGATCTCTCTTTTTTTCAGGACTCTGTGTTTTACCGCGTGCATCAAGTTATTGCAACATCAACATTCAAAGTAAAATCCTCTGACCTCTATTTATCAGATCCGTTCCTTCAGTTTTTAAACAGCCTACCATTGGAATACAACTACGCCCTTTACAGGCATATATTCCAGCTGTTTGGAACACATTATTTCAGCTCTGGGACATTAGGAGGGAAGTATGACCTCCTTTTCCAATTCGATCGAGAAGAACTGAAAACCTTTGGTAAGTAGATATTATTATTATCGGATAGGAAGCGGTTGTGGCACATCATTAGTGTTCACTTGACTTTATTGTTTCCCTCTCATTTCTTGCTATTAAAATCAGCCAAACATCTTTACACTTTTTAGGGCTTAAAGAAAGCGACTCAGAGTACTGCTTGTCTGATGATGACACACTCGTCACATTTTTTTATAATAGACATAAACAAAGAAACACTTGTGGGAATATTTCTATGAAAACCAAATATGAAGGTAACAGACATACAAATGTACTATTTACGCAAACAAGGCTTGTGTTTTTAGTTATATAAATGTGTGTCCACTCCAGGGTCAATGGTAAAAGCATCAGAGAGGTGTATCACATCTGTACAAGGAGGACGAACTGAATTTGCAGCAGCACTGGCCTGGGAGAAGAAAGGCGTTTCGCCACAGAGCACTGTATACACAGACTGGATCAAGTCTACTATAGAAAATCCAGTGGTTATTAATTATGAGGTTAGAAAGAGCAACAGACTTAAATGCCCTTTCTGTAAAAACAAAACAAAAGAGGCCATCATGGAATCTGTGATATTTTAATGGTTATAATAGAAATAATACTGGCTTTAATGGCAACTATTTGGCCTTCTATTGGTGCTGTGTTCAAATCAATACATCCTAATGTAATGTGTCCCACAACACACTTGAAATCATCAACATGTGCTACTTTTAATGGCTAAAATCTTTTTTACTACTTACTACTAATTTTAGTAGTGGGAGTCTTCTTCTGTGATGGTTTCTGTTGTTTGAAAATGGCTGTGGATTAACCTGCTAATCATTCTGGCAGCCTTTTATCTAAAAAGAGAGAAAAGAAGAGCAAATCACCATCAATAAATGGCTCTCAGATTTTAATATGTTTGTGTCTTATCCAGCTTTTGCCTTTAGTGAATTTGGTGCGGGGCATCTCTTGTGCTGTGACAAAAAGACGGCACTTTCACCGGGCACTGGAGGAGTACCAGACCGAATTTGACTCCTGCAAATGTGCCCCCTGTCCGAACAATGCTCGGCCGGCTCTTTCAGGAACCGAGTGCCTTTGTATATGCCAGACTGGAACATATGGATCAAACTGCGAGAAACGAGCACCGGACTACACCTCAGGTTTACGTGCATGCTTTTAAATATTCACATGTGGTATTGACGTAAAATATAAATACCCTTGTTGGCAAGGCAGGTTTATTTATATAGCACATTTCATAAACTATGGTAATTCAAAGTGCTTTACATAAAAAAGACAGAAACGTAAAATAAACAACAATAAGAAATAAAAACAAATAATAAAAATGATTAAATCCAATAAAAATAGATTAAAATGTGTTAAACGACATGTTAAAAAGACATAATAGTACGATCTGTCGGACGTAGGACAGTGGGCATTCAGTAAAGGCACAGTTAAACAGATGTGTTGAATGTACCTTATGTTGGAGCACATCTGATCACTTCTGGAAGCTGATTCCATCAGCGGGGAATGCAGTAGCTGAAGGCTGATTCACCCTGCTTTGACTGAACTCTTGGAATTTCTAATTTACTTAACCCTAATGGTCTGAGTGATCTGTTTATTATATATAAAACATTGTTAACTCGCCCTCATGAGGACTTTTGTTCATGTTCAGAACACAACTGTAGATATTTTATGAAATCAGAGAGATTTCACTGTTGAAAATCTTTTTTTTTTATCACTTCAAAATATTTTAAATCAAAACTATTTAAGCAGTTTAATCCTTAAAAAGTCTTCAAAAGAGATATTATTGTTTTATATGAAGATTACATTATTCACATATAAACATTGATCAGCAAAAATGAACAGCATTTCTACTTGATGAGCAGGAACAAACCACATTAATTTGTATTTGAACCAATTTTGACACCATCTGTCCACATCTTACAGTTGAAGTTGATGGGCACTGGAGCTGCTGGAGCTCTTGGAGTCCTTGTGATGCCACCTTGAAGAAGCACCGCTCTCGTACCTGCAGCAACCCTGCCCCACAGCGAGGCGGCAAACCCTGCCCAGGCCTTGAAAAACAGGTGGAGGAATGTACCATCTCCATTTTCCAGGAGTAAGTGCCCTGATTTACCTTGTAGGCTACAAGCAGGCTTGTACTGTCATTGTTACGTCGATGAATGTGAATTGATCTAATTTGGGTAGCATGTGCCTGAAGCTAGTCATTTACATTCAGTCTGTCCATGCAGTATCTCACACACATTGGTGTTGGTGGTTTACAAGGACTCTCCATAGGAGTAATGTATTTTATTCACATTTCTAAACATAATAGTTTTAATTAATAATTCATTTCTTATTACTGATTTATTTTATCCTTACCATGATGACAGTAAATAATATTTGACTAGATATTTTTCAAGACACTTCTATACCGCTTAAAGTTACATTTAAAGGCTTAACTAGGTTAACTAGGCAGGTTAGGGTAATTCGGCAAGTTATTGTATAAAAATGGTTTGTTCTGTAGACTATCGAAAAAAAAGATAGCTTAAAGGGGCTAATAATTTTGACCTTAAAATAGATTTGAAAAAATGAAAAACTGCTTTTATTCTTGCCGAAATAAAGCAAATAAGACTTTCTCCAGAAGAAAAAAATATTATCAGACATACTGTGAAAATTTTCTTGCTCTGTTAAACCACATTTGGGAAATATTTGAAATAGAAAACAAATTCAAAGGGGGCTAATAGTTCTGACTTCAACTGTATGTGTTAAAGTGTTCTCGTAAGAAGTAAAATGCAAAGATAAATATATTTACTTTAGTTATTTATTTGATTGTAACCTATTATTATTATTAATATTATTCTCTCTTCTTGTTTTTGTTTCTTATTTGTTTCCTTTTTTGGTTAATTGTTTATTATTTTCGCCAGAAGTGGGTGGAATGGGGTGGAGCATTAATAGAAAATGCAGTTGGTTGCTTGTCCATAACAGTGTATGCTAGATTATTTCCAACTGTTCAATAAAAATGTATTCACAAAAAAAATTCACAAAAAAAGAAAAACAATGAAAGAATTAATAAACTTAGTGAACACTTATATCTTCTCAAACATCAGACTTCAAGCTACATAAATATAACACATTTTCTTAAAAATTGTTTTACAAAAAAAAAGTACCCATCTATGAAAATCTACAGAATTATTTGCTAACGAGACCCACTTTTCCTATTTGTCCATCTTTCACAGGCAAAACGTCTGCATTAATGATGATGCCTTTGTGACTGAAGATTCCAGTGAGAGTCGGCTGCCTCCTGGAACTTCTGGCTGTGCAAAACCTCTTCCACCAGCCAACAGTCACTTAAGAGTGCGCAAAAATCACATCACAATGTTTTGCCAAACTCTTTTACATTGTTTTTTAATATCTTTTATATTTCTTATATGTGCAGATCAACAAGCGCCAGTATGACTATGGAGATCACGAGGAGATTATTTGCTTCACTGGATTTGAGTTGCAGGGATTCCAGCTCATTCATTGTTTGCAGGATGGTACCTGGGAGAAACCAAAGGCACAGTGTATTAGTAAGCCAAACAAATGCCTGTTTAATATCTGAATAACACAACTTATGATCTGAAAGCTCATTTTGTCCTTTAACACACTTTGTAATCAATGTAATTCATGTTGTTCCAGAAAAGGTTTGCTCCAAACCCTCTGTGCCTGATGGCATGACGATTAATCCAGACAGAATGGAGTATAAAGTAGGAAGTGACATCATGCTGGTTTGTTTAGAGAGCGGCACGAGTCCTTCAGGACGCCTGTCTTACTCTTGTGGAAAAAGTCTTATCTGGGAACCGAGCATTCCAAAGGACATATACTGCAAAATCGGTACTCATTCATTTTCCTTCGGCTTCTTCTCTATTTTAGAGGTCACCACAGCGGAATGAACCATCAATTATTCCGGCATATGTTTTATGCAGTAGATGCCCTTCCAGCCACAACCCAGTACTGGAAAACACCCATACACAATCATTCACACATAAAAATACACACACACACACACACACATACAGTATGGACATTTATTCATTCATTTCATTTTTCTTTGGCTTAGTCCCTTTATTTATCAGGGGTCATCACTGCGGAATAGTGTAAACCGCCAACTTCTCCAGAATATTTTTTACCCAGCGGATAGAGTGCATATGTTTTACACAGCGGATGCCCTTCCAGCTGCAACCTAGTACTGGGAACACTCTCTCATTCACACATATGTATGAACAATTTAGCCTACCTAATTCACCTATACCAAGTGTCTTTGGACTTGTGGGGGAAACCGGAGCACCCGGAGGAAACCCATGCCAACACGGGGAGAACATGCAAACTCCACACAGAAATGCCATCTTGCCCAGTCGGGACTTGAACCAGCGACCTTCTTGCTGTGAGGTGACAGTGCTAACCACTGAGCCACAATGCCGCCCCAAAATAGGAGCTTACAAAGAATAAATGCCAAACTTGATTTTGATTCACAGCTTTAGCTTCTGAGATGCAAATATGATGCCTCTATTGTGACCTTTTAAAGGTTTGTTTTGGAATGCACTTTTTTGTTAATATATGCAGTATAAGTAACAATTTAAGTTATATGCACTTATATTATCATTATACATGTTATTTCATCATGTTGTTAGTGAACAGTTAGCTTTATTAAAAATGAAATTAAAATATAATACAAGCCTATAAAGACATTCCCAAGAGGCATTACATCATTCTTTGGATATAATTATTAAATTTCCAATCTTTACTTCTAATCTTTTTTCAATTGAACTGCCAGGCTAAATTATGTAGCTAGATTTTTTTTTTACACAAATGTAATGAAAACCTATTATGGCAAAATTAATTTTAGACCACTTTCATCTCTTTACTTAAGAAAATTTCTTTCTCATGAAAAACAATATAAAAAATCATTAGAATTTTTGAATCATTAGAAATATAATAAAAAGTTCACAGGAGACATCATAAGTCAGTATTATGCTAATTTTATATAAATCTTCTAAGCTTGTGCAGAAAGTAAAGGTGTAATTACTAACGACTTGTTTCCACTGATTGTAAACTTCGACCACTGGAAATGTATGGAAATGTATATACAGATATACTGTAATACACACTATATTAAACATTTGTAAAAGCTTTAACAGTGCATTCTTTTCACAGATAAACCCTATGTACCAGACAGCAGCTGCAAACCTGGAGAGATCAATGATGGGACTAAATGTGTTTGCATGACTAAAGAAAGATGCAGGTATGAAGTTTTCCTATTTGTGACAAGTTCATTTCATCATGTTGTTTTCCTTCTCATGAGAAACAATATTAAAAGTCCTTAGAATTTTTGAGTCATTAGAAATATAATAAAATTTAGTGGTGTAACGGATCACAAATCTCACAGTTCAGATCACATAATGGTTTTTTAGTCACTGATCAGATAATTTTTCAGCCAAAAAGGGAGGAGACAAATGTAATTTGCTTTCCATTTATTACAAAGACAGTACTCAAGACACTTTTGGTTTTTAACAAACAGAACTTAGAACCTGTAATTGTATTAAAAATAAAATTAAGAAATAATCAGCTGAATCAAAATAAATTGTAAAATATTCAGTACTGTGAAAAAGTCACTGATACTACTGCTGTTGCTGATAACACTAAATGTAGAAATCTAAGAGTATCATTTGTACAATCCATATTTATTTTTAGTCTTGTTTTCAATAAATGATTCAGTTATTATAATGTAATTGCTGCCAACAACTCTCATTTTTGAGCGTTGTTAAATATGATGGTGATTTTAATCTTTAACATAAACATCAGTGGTTTTATCCAAACCCTAAACTGTTATCTCAGGATTTCTGTGTTATATGACTGTTTGTAACTTTACAACTAAATCAAAAGACTAAAGCCTGAATCATTTTTAAATTTTAAGTGTTTTCAAACACAGATTTGAATGTAGCGATTCGAGGGATTAATAAACATGCGAATCACTATCATTTATAATTTATGTTGCGTGGGTGTTGAGATCCCGATCTTTTAATGATTAATCGTGCAGCTTACACTGAATGCATTGATGCAGGCTAAACAAGTTAAGACAGAAAACACCTTTCATATCCCTAGGCTCTCTTGTAAAACATAACTGTGAAGAAAAAATTTGCGGTAGTTTATTCAGGATGTGGTGGGTTTCTTAAATGCTTACATACATGCAATTTGAATGACTCGAGAGGCGATCTCTCTATGATTGTCACAAATTTAGGATCAATCTACAAGTGCGGGTCTCGTACGTGTGTTTCAAATTGTGGGTTGCGATTTGTTACACTCCTAACAAAAGTAGTAAAAGACCTAAAACACTCCCACATGAAATGGGCAAATAATTAATCCAAAAACATCCATTCATTAATTTTCCACAGTGAAATGAACCACCAACTTATCCAACATATGCTTTACGCAGCAGATGCCCTACCAGCCGCAACCCATTACCAGGAAACATCCATACACTCTCATTCACGCATATACACAAGGGCTAATTTAGCTTATTCAATTCACCTATAGCGAATGTCTTTGGACTGTGGGGGCAACCGGATGACCCAGAGGAAACCCACGCAAACACGGAGAATGTACAAAATCCACACAGAAAGGCTAACTGATCCAGCTGGGGCTCGAACCAGAGACCTTTTTGCTGTGAGGCGATCGTGCTACCCACTATGCCAGCGTGTCCCAATCCGAAAACACCTCTTTAAATCCACCATTTCATTCTATGATATGCTTTCACATGAATTATCACTATATCCCAATTCATTTAGCTTTTAAAAGCAAAATACTAAATCAACTTTATCAAACGCCTTGTAGAAAATCTAACAGCTTAACTTGCCTTCATCATATTTTTTCATATAAAATCATATACAGTTGAGGTCAGAATTATTAGCCCCCATTAAGATAGCTGCCTTAATGCAGTGCTATTTGCAGTCTTGACCATTAAACACTATGTATTTGTGTATCCTGCAGAGGTTACAGAGAAGACTTGTGCGTTTATGACGCTGGCAAGGAAACTGCCATTATGATGTCCCTCTGTGCTTTTCATGCTGACCGTTGTCATGGAGACAGATTATACTTTATGAATAATGGACCGTGCAAAAGTGACGCACGCAGTCTGGACTGGGCCAAATTCAGGGTCAGTGTATCTGAGCAGAGCTCGGTGCAGGAGCCCTGCGGTTCAGACACCTGTTACGAGTGGGAGACCTGCTCAGGTACAGACCGAATCACAAATCCTTACATAATGCATTCTTTCATTATATTCAACTAAAATAATTCAAGTCTTATTGTCTTTTCTTCTTAGTGTCCAAAACGTGTGAGTGTAAGATGCCCAGAGAATGTCCAAAAGACGGGAAGAAAATATACTGCCTGAAAATCGTGAGGACGCAAACCACAAGAAGCATGAATCTGTGTTTTATGGCTGCAATGAAGTGCAGCAGTATAGAGTTTGAGCTTCAGCATGAAGGCCCTTGCGCAGGTTCTTAATTGTGCACCACTTAAGCTGTAAAAATGTTCACAGATTTGCAGCCATTATTGATTCATATTGATAACACATTGTCATTTTAAAATCACTCACAGCATGCTATAGTTATTTGTTTGTGCATATGGGCATTCTTGATATTGATCTGGAACAACACAATAAAATATAATCGGACATTCAGATGCCTTCTAGTATTTAAATACTCTTTCATCTGCTAAAGTTGAATGTTAAAATAATTACTTTCTGGCATGTCAGAAATAACTGTAAATAAGCTATTCATGTGAATTATACTGAAATGCTTTGCTGTTTTTTATTGCCCACAATCCAGGAACACCTTAAGTAACAAATTTGCACTTATTTACAAAATTTATTTGCAAAGTGAATACATGTCTTTTTTATATTACAGTAAAAAGAAACATCATAGAGCTGCACCAAACAATATATTTAAAAAATACTTTATGACTGACAGGCTCCAATTTTGAGCACGTTCATTTCTTTCCCTCTGCATCTCCAAGCTCCCGCCTCACATTCTGACATCATCTCAGGAGCTCCGCCCATCAGAGAGACACACACGTGGGCGGAATCATCAGGGCAGTCCTCAGGATCCTTACAGTCACATTTCGAACCTAAGAACACATTTAAATACAGTTTTACATATACTCTAAACTCTAAAGTGACCAAATGTTCTACTTCATTATGTATGAAAATAACAAAAGATGGAACTGTGGAAAATATGGTCACAATATTATAAATATTCTTTTTGTATCAGATTTTTTATTCACTTATTAGTCTGTCAAAATTAAAGCCTCTGGATATTTTTCTTGATAGACATTTTTTTAAGGAAATGATTAATTATCATACAATCAGAGTATCCAACACATTATGTGCGTGAATAGTGTTTTGAAAGAATTATAATAATTGCACACAAAGTGCACTGTGTCAATGACCAGTATGAGAAAGTTACTGTTTTTTTTGTGTTACCATCGCATGTCTCCCACTGATGGCAGTCCTGACAGGATGTGAATTTGGTTTCTGGCCAACTGCATGCACTATCCTGCAGCAAAGTAAAGGTTTTCCCAAGACACTGCAGAGCCCCAAGCTGGCAGACACTCATTCGGTTGACCCGGCCCGGACGCACAGTGGCACAAACGTGGAGAGACGTCCTGGTCAAAGATGTGACATTAACACGTGCTGCTTTTGTATGATTTTTTTTGTCATATATTCAATACCATAATTAAGGCACTTACTTGCATTCAAAAGGCATTTTGCAAACACACTGACCCGTCCCTGGTTTTTCCCATGGTTTGCAGAGGAGGCTTGGTTGGGTGGGCACTGCTTCAACTAATCAAAAATATTATATTAGCCATAATTAAAGCCATATTTAGAGCCATCCATTAATTTGATAAATATGAGCAAAGAACGCTGTGGAAAAATAATTATCTGGATCTTTTGATCAATCTATTTTTTTTTTTTAAATGGAAGAAGTTGACAGATGTTTGTGGTGAGACTTTTTAATCCATAGGTCTTAAACTCAGTTCCTATTGGGCTGCAGTCATCAAACTTATCAAACACAATTGATCCAACTAATCAAGGTGTTTAAGACATATCGAGTAGAATTGAGTTTGAGACTTATGCACCAATCCCATGACCCTTCTAACCTCTGCCGTTCTCCAGCTGTGGTTTTAAGAGATTTATTTGGCCACTTAAACTTTCATCCTAACTGTCTTGTGAAAAATTCAGCACATGTCCTCTTCCAGGTTTGAACCCTTAAACTCTGTTTCTTTACCTACATTCAGGTCAACTCTGTTACATTACAAAAAGACATCGGTTATAAAAATCTTTAAAGTACTTATAGAAAGAAACTTATTATTCTTTCATTAATTTGTAAAAAAAAATGTAAAGGCTAATTATTTGTAAACTCGGTTACTGTGATATTTCAGTGAATTTCTCATTTACTTTTTATAAAAAATAATATGACAAAACTGCATAGAATAGCTCAAACTGTTTATTTTAGTAACTAGATTAAAAAGTTCTTCAACACAAACTTTAGGCTGGCTTGAGAAAGCTTAGACTGAAGGTTTAAAGTAGTTCTTAAGTTTTAAATGGCTTAAAATTTTAAGTAGTTTTAATTAGTTCTACGTTTTACACAGCTTGAGGTTTAAAAGTAGTATTAAAAAAAGTAAAAAAAATTGTTTTCATCAACAACAATTACTAACAAAATCAAATGCTCTCTATCACGCATTTTACATTGTCACTTCAATAAAATATTTAAATGGCTAGATTATACAAATACTAGATTGCTGGATTATAATATACATATGTAACAGTGCAAATGACCAAAAGGTTAAATAATATAAACTTTTTCACAGCCTTCTTTGATCTTATTTATGAAGGGTACCGATATGTTGGGCACTGTATGTGTTTGCTTTTTTTAATAGGAGCCTACCTGGGTTGCAACGGACACTCTTAGGATCTGGATACCAGCTGAGACCAAGCCGGCACCTGATTTCTCCTTCACCATCTTTCTGCATTCCGCTTGGACATGAGAGGGTCACACTGTCACCAATACGATAGGATTGTTTTAAGGGCACAACAATCACATTTCTGAGAACAGCTGGAGCATCACACTCTGATTCTGGTAAATATACAAACACAAGAAAATACTTCACAACAATTGCCAAATGTAATGATCTAAAAACACAGAACTGCATTAAATGGGTTACATGTAAAGATTTGTATAACCATATCTCTATTAGTCTCAGATATTCTTTATAATTTAACTATGAAATCAAAATGATGTCATTTGAACTGCCTAGTTTGTCGACATGATGCTGTTGAATAGCAGAGCTTGATCAGATACTTTATTAACTAAATTTCTTAACATCAACTATACAGCATTGACTGGTACATCTTAGATTTATCAAAAGTATTCATTTTTCAGATACTTGTACCAGTGAAAAGCTACTTAATCATTAAATTAGTATTTATACTCTCATGCCAATTAAACAGATTTTAGTTATCACATGCTAGTATTTATTAGATAATAGTTCTTTTATCATTTTAGTACTAATACATTTATCATTTTATATACTATATACTAATGGACAAAAATACTTATCTGAACTATTAGAACTGAAGATATTTAACATTTCATCGGTAAGACTATTAACTAAACTATACTGTGGTCATTCTGATTAACCAAATGTTGCTAAAAATGAGACTTAATGAACAGCATGTATAACCCTGATTTAATAATTATTCTCCTGGCAAATACCTTAACACTTTTTGATTTGGCAACTACCCAGAAAATATTGTCACCATAAATAATACATTTAACATTTTCAATTACTTTTGCACTCCATTGGTGATATCCTCCATGTCAGGCTTTCTGTACATTCAGCGAATGGATTGCCAATGCGATCGTATCCGTCTGTGCAGGTGTATTCAATCTTCTTGCCCACTGTATAGATGTCTTTTGGGTCCTGCATACATGATGGAATGCATGCTTGATGTGAGTTTTGTGTATTGAAAGTTTCATTACTGTGTGTATTCCCACACCCTTTCCATTTGCCTTGAATAGGGAGATACTTACCAAAACAAACCCATTAGCCAAAGGAGGGGGAGTTTTACATGTCTTCACTGGTGTCAGTGTGGGATCAAAGCAATGGGGCTCCAAGATTCTAAAGTATGGAGAAGAAAAAAGGCCATGATTGTACACCAAAATATAGAGTTAAAGTCAGAATTATTAGTCCTCCTGTGATTTTTTTTTCTTTTCTTTTTAAATATTTTTCACAGTATTTACTATAATATTTTTTTCTCCTGGCGAAAGTCTGGTTTGTTTTATTTAGGCTAGAACAAAAGCAGTTTTTATAAAAAAAGAAAAAAAAGAAGAAATATATTATTTAAGCAGTATTTTTTTCCAATAGTCTACAGAACAAACCATTGTTATACAATGACTTGCTTAATTACCCTGACTTGCCTAGTTAACCTATATAATCTAGCTAAGCCTTTAAACTGCACTTTAAGCTGAATACAAATTTCTTGAAAAAATATCTAGTAAAATATGATGTGTATGGGCTAATAACTCGACTCTCTCTCTCTCTCTCTCTCTCTCTCTCTCTCTCTCTCTCTCTCTCTCTCTCTCTCTCTCTCTCTCTCTCTATATATATATATATATATATATATATATATATATATATATATATATATATATATATATATATATATTAAATGCACAAACTGTCATCCTCACTTGAGGTGTTCAAAATCCGGCTCCTCGCAGCTTCTGCGCTCTATGGTTTCTCCTATGCAATTTTTGCCTCCATTTCTTGGCGTAGGATTGTTGCATGAACGAGTCCTTGACTTTTGACCATGAGAGCAGCTGCTCCAGGCAGACCAGCAGCTCCAGCCTCCTTCAATCACTCCTGTAAAGCATGACATATTTCAGACACAATAAACAGGCAGGATATGTTCAACAAATGAACAGCATTCTTTAATTCTGAATCCGTTTTTCTAATTCCTGAACAAACAACTCTTATGAACCAGATCTTTATAGGGAATCAAAAACAAGAAGCGCAACCAGTGATTTTATTTCCTGAATGAGTCTAATATAAGAAAAATTTAGATAATATATATTTGACCAATTAAAAAGCTCCTATAACCTCTTATAAGCAATTAATGACTAGTTTGAATATATTCCTGAATCAATATCTGACTCACCTAAAATGCAAGTTTCCTATAATAAGTGACCCATTTTGTCTTGTAGGGGCGAGATACTTTAAATACCAGAGTGCAAAAGTGATGATGTGAGGAACTGTATCTCAGTAAATATTAATAATAATAACAATTCCTTACATTTATATGGTGCTTTTCTGGACACTCAAACGCTTTTTACACATTGGGGGGAATCTCCTCATTCACTACCAGTGTGCAGCATCCACCTGGATGACATGACGGCAGCCATATTGCGCCAGACCACACATCACACACCAGCTGATGGGTGGAGAGGAGGCCGAGTGATGAAGACAATTGTGATATGGGAATGGTTAGGAGGCCATGGTGGACAGAGGCCAGGGAGTAAATTTGGCCAGGAAGCCAGTGTTAAACTACTCTTGTTCGAAGGACTTCCTGGGATTTTTAACGACCACAGAGAGTCAGGACCTGGGTTTAACATCTCACCCTAAAAGACGGACAAATCTTCTAATGAGAATTTTACCTTTGTTTTGGGGCACATTAGCTAAATAAAAACTTTAATACTAACAGATGGATAACCTAAAGGATAATTTTAACACTAACCGGGAATTTGTTTTGTTGAAACATATGACCACCATATAAGCTAAAGTGCAAAAGTGATGTCATTAAAAATCACTGACCCAAAATGACAGAAGTGAGAAACTATTTCACTAAATCTTCTAATGACAATTGTGTATGTGTTTTGGAGCACAGTAGCTATTGGATAATATTAATACTAACAGACTGATACCAACACACACACAAAAAACTTTCATTTTATTTTCATGCAAACTTCAAAAGTTAATTAAGTCCTACCTGGTTGCTCTCCAAGGACATGGCCATTCTGGCAGGCATTACCGCTGGTTCCTGGCCTACACACACATGTACAAACCCCTTCACTGAGCACAGCCATGCCATTGTTCTGACAGGGTCTGCAGTGACAGGGGCTCTGCTCCTCCAGATAGGCCTCCAGTGCCCTCTTCAGGTGGACTTTCTTTAGTCCTGCACATGCCACCTCCTTGACCAATTCATGCAGCGGCCTCAACTAAGAAATAGACACATCATAGTGTAAATATTTACTCTATACTTTTAAGTACATATTTCTAATGCCTTAGGCCTGACATACCTTCTGTTTTATTACTTTAGGGAACTCCTTCACTGACCCAGCCCACTTTGTGTACATTTGTTTGTTATTGTCAGGGTTTTCCAAGTCCAGGAGACTAAGGCCAGCGATATAAGCGCTATTTCCTCCTATAATGTCTGTTTTTATTGGCATCTTATGGTTTCTGTTCTCTGTAACACATTTTAAAGTGTTCCACATTCAAATCTAAATTTATACACACCTTTAGTGATAATAATTTGTCAGAGCATCAGTAATAATGTGCTACTAACCACTGAAATTCTCAATGGTCTTCATCAGTTTCACACACTTGGTTGTTTTCTTCTTATAGAAGAGACGCCGCTTCACACGGGTAATACACTGGTGGAAATCAGTCTCTGTTCTACCTGCATTAAAAAGGACATTAAGTTAAGCAGAATGAATCTTACACAAATGCCCCACAATACAAGGGTTAGCGCTTACACTGAAAGCACATTGACTTCATATAGAAAAATATAAAGTAACACTTAAATCAGGAGTTCCCAATTTTTTCAGCCCACAACCTCCAAAACTGCAATGCCAGTGACTTGTGATCCCCAGTATTCTCTGAGGTGGTTATAAATATAAAACCTTGCACACAGTGGCGCACACATACCAATAGGCCCAAGTCTAGTCATTGTTTAATTTTGGAAATCGCCAGTTAGAGACAATCCTCCATGTTCAGTCATAAAGGGGTCAGAAAGTTTAACCTAGTGCTGTAAAATCAATGTGTCTTTAATACAACGTAATCACCCAAGGGGTCGCAAGAAAATCAAAAGGCTGATGGCTTTTTAGTTGGATGTTGTTGTTTTTTTTTTACGAAACTATTAACTACTATTTTTCTTCAGTAGGTTATGCATAAAATATGGTAATTCTAATAGTTTGTAAATGACCTGACCCCGCACTTTGGAAAGCACCGACTTAGCTGACAGAAGGGTCAAGATATTTGTGTCTGAATCAAAATATGTTCATAAAAATTATTTTTTATTAAAAAAAATCATGTAAAATGTAAGAAATGCTTATTCTTTAAATCATTTGTTTAAAATAAAATGTCAAAAAATATTAAATGTTATGATAAAAGCTATCAGCATGATATAGTGAAGATAAATTTATGTGGCCATTCATTAAAACATATGCCATAATAAGTGATCATACAAAATGTTAATTTTAAATTATATTAAAAAAAATTATACGTTGATAAATAAGTAAAGCCTAGAGATTTGAAAGAGGGTGGCAAAATATAAAGATTTAAAATTACATAAATTTAGTCATTTAGAGCTGCATTGTAATCCTTAAATGGAGTCTATTAATAGAGTAACTCATCAATTTAATATTGTTCTAATAAGCCTATATTTCTTTCTTTTTGTTTTTTGTTTTGTTTTTGTATATTAACCCATTTTCATTTTTAACCCAGTAGATGTTTCAGAAAAGGTCTGAGTGTTCATAATTCAGAAGCCCAAATTCTAATCAAATATGAAACAGAAAAGGATTAAATAAGGATTTTGGAATAAAACCTAATACATTCAAGAGATTGATTGGACTGATAAAGATAAATGTTTATAAATAAGTAAGTCCCCTCAAGTTCATAATTCTAGCACATATTAAGGACCAGTGTTGGGGAAAGTTACTTTTTAAAGTAATGCATTACAATATTGAGTTACTCCCCCAAAAAGTAACTAGTTGCATTACTTAATTACTTTTTTTTCTAAGTAATGCGTCACGTTACTTTTGAGTTACTTTAGCTTTACGTTTTATTACCTGGCTGAGGCTTGATCTCTTTCAGTACTTTTTTTTAAATACAGGAGCTCTGCAATAAACAACACACTGTATAGCCTACACCTAAATTTACCTTAAAAAAGAACAAAACAAAAAAAATTATCGTTATCAGAGAACTTCTTGACCTCAGAGCTATACATGCCATATATACAGATTAATGACAGTTTAAAGCAATGTGCTTTTCTACTATTTGTCTTAGGTAAAATCACTCTTATTGAGACAAAGCCCTTTTCCTTTTCTTAGATGCGTTCTCTCTCATTGACTGCGTGATTCATCATGACTACTTTTATTTTAATTCAGCAATTTTTTTAAATAATTATTTTTCAGGGTTTTCACCTTTAATGGATAGGACAGTAGAGAGTATTGACAAGAAAGCATGGGGAGAGGAGAGAGAGGAAAGATCGGCACAGGACCGCGAGGCGAAAATTTAACTCTGGTCGCCATGAGCACTGGAGTGCACGTGTTGACACACCAACCACTACGTCAATTAAAAGAAAAACAATAAATTAAACTAAAAAGTAACTTGCATTAAATAAAAAAGTAACTTAAATATTTATCATTTTTAAAGTAATGCATTACTTCACTCGTTACTAAGAAAAGTAATTGCGTAAATCACGCTACTTGTAATGCAGTTTATATACCCTATTATTTCACAATTAATATTACCAGAGAAAAGAGAAAATTAACACATACTCATTTCCATCATATAATTTGCGTCCAGCTCCAGCAGTGCCCTATACTGGCCCCCCAGAGATCCTTCCTCCATATAGTGAGTACCATATCGCTGTATGAATAGTCGATAGGCTGATGGCTCATATGTGATGGGCAGAGCTGATAGATCCTTCCAAAAATCTTCAGACAGAGGCAAGTATTCCGGAGCGTTGTTCTGGAACTGAGCCACTTCTACCTCATTTCTTATTATCAGCAGGTGATAGGTCTTTAAAAACAGAAAAACACTCTTTAAATATATCATTATAACAAGTCTTTTCTACTGTTTAATATATTGAATGCATTGTTACCTTGTCCTGTTTAAGTTGGTTATGAAAGGTTTTATGATCATGGCCTCCCCGAATGATCCTTCTTTGCTTTTCATCCCTCATGTAGGACCAGGAACTGTCATAGTAGTCATCAGTGAAATCGTTTTCAACACTGACCTAAAAGGAAACAAAATGTTTATATAACAAGGAGGAGAAATAACTAAATATTAATAGTACATTAAGTAATTGCAGCATATTTACACTTTTTGCTCCAAATTCTTTTTTTTATACTTTATTTATAAAAGTTTTTATAAAACTTAATACCCACTAGAGAACATCATGTATTTATTTAACACGATTATCTCAGTGTTTTTACCAGATACCAACTAGAACATGCACCAAAACACTAGCAAACAATACTGCAATTATACAGTATTATCATTAAAATAATACATCCCAGCCAGACTAATCGAATCAGAAACAAAACAAAATAAAATGACATGTAAAAGGAAAGAAAAAAAATATTTTAGAAAAATAAATAATTACAGGCATTATTAACATTTACATCTAAGAAGGGGGCCCCAGATTTTATAATACATCTTTTGTTTGCCGAATCTAGAGAATCATAACCATTAGAATACCATAAAGAACCATTTCAGCTAGCTATTTAAGAGGTGTCGTGGATTTCCACTCCGTCAGAATCGCTCTCTTGTCTAGCATTTTCCTCACAATTTTGAGTGTGTACAGCCCAATTGTGAAATTTACAAGTTTGGACATTAAAATTGTGTGATATAAATTGAAAAATTGTACGATAAATTTGCAGGATGGAATTATAAGATAGAAAGTCATTATTATAGATTGATTCAGAATTGCATATTTTTTAAATAGAAATAGATATACAAGTTTGTATCCCACAGTTCTGACATTTTATATCTTTATATTAAAATATCTTATTTTGTGTTCAATAGAGGAAAGAAACTCATAAAGATTTACAACTACTAGATGAGTAAATAGTGAGTAAATTATTATTTCTCATAAATGTGACATTTAAAATCTATGGCATTATTCCTCGCAGTTGTGATTTTATTGTTATCAATTCTGACTTTGTTTTTTCTGAGTTTATATCCCACAATTGTAGCTTTTTCCATCAATTTTTGAAATAAAATACAAATAAGAAATGTGAAACATAAGCTAATAATCTGGCAGTTTTGACGTGCTTTAGACTTTTTTCCTCAGTATTATGGCCTGCAATTGAGGGGAATAAAAGCCCCCCAAAAAGGCTTTCTATGATTATAACATACACATATGCTAAAAATGTTCACCTGAAAGCTGTATCTGAGTAGATTTTGAGGAAGTCTGTAGAATTCTCTGTGGTCTCCACTGAAAACCTTCCTGCACTGTCCACCAAAGCTACGGGTGTTGATGACACCTGCTCTCAGCTCACCCGTCAACTCATCAAACCTATTGAAAGCCAAATATAGTCACTATATTGCGTCATATCATCATTTGCAATAACTTACAGTCAGCATAAAATGCATATTCTACCCTCTTCCTGTGAGGTCTGAGTTTGGTGGTGGCTTTTGCTTATCACACACTATAGAGCCAGTACAGCGCTGTTCATCCAAACCATCTTCACAGTTATGATCTCCATTGCACACCAGAGACGGGTTGATGCACTGACCTATGAACAAACAAGCCAATAATCAAAACTGCAGATTTTAGCTCCAAGTTGCTTCAACACACTTGCAAAATGTTTCTAAAAAGCCTAGTAAGAGCTTGATTAGCTGGTTCAGGTGTGTCTGATTGGGGTTGGCACAGGCCCTCCAGGTCCAAGTTTGTACACCCCAGCTCTAAACTGACTTTTGGCTTTCGTCCACAAATAGGCCTAAACTGAAGAGAATTACCAGACGTGCAACGAAATCTGTTTTCGCATCCTGCCTGTAGAGGGCAGCTTTTCTTCGGTAAACAGGCTTGTTTCTGAATGTCCTCGCCTGTACAAGACTTTCCGCCAAACTGAGGGAATGTCTCTACTTGACGCACTCGAACCTGAGAGAAGAAAAAATCAAGGAGGTCAGCACGGTAGTTCCTGAAGATAAAAACATTTGTATGTAATTTGTATTTGTAAATGTATTTGTATTTAGGTTTTTCATAAAATGTTTTTTTTTTCTTCAGTCTAATGTAAAGACAACATCCAACATGCACTTATCTATATCTAGTTGTGTCTGTAAAATTCGATTACAGTACACGTTTTAATTTCTTAGTAGTTTCACACCCTCCCCCAAAAGCAAACAACAACAACAACAATAAAGAATATATGAAATATGTAGGAAATATGTAACCAGGGGTGGATTTAGTGATTTAAGGGCCCTAAGCAATTCCAGCCTATGTGGCCCAAAAGTCCTAAAATGCACCTTTTGTACTTTCATTTATTTTGCTGTTTTTTTATATCACTTAGTCTTCTTTTCTACATTTTATCTTAATGCAAAATAATAATAAGATGTAAATCATCTTGTAAAACTTTTAAATGATTTGTTTTCTTAAACTGAAAAAAGAACTCCTTTGCTTTTTAAAACTGATCTGACTGCTGGACTGCTCTATAATTTAGGGTGAAGGACTTGGACAGATGTAATATTTACGTTAAAATTAAATCTTTTATACCCTCTCTGTACAAAATATGATAGAACAGTTTGTTATAGTTTATAGCTATAATTTATACTTTTCCCAGTACTGGGTTGCAGCTGGAAGGGTATCCACTGAGGAATAGTTGGTGGCGGTTCATTCCGCTGTAGCGACCCCTGATAAATAAGGGACCAAGACGAAGGAAAATTAATGAATAATTTATACTTCTAGGTTTTTATTTTGGGGTCCTCCGATTTCCTGGGGCTCTAAGTGGCTGCTTACTTTGCTTATTGGTTAAATCTGCCGATGCATTATATTTTTTTCCTACTACAGAATTCAAGTATTACAGCAACATATTTCAAAATATCCTATTTTGTTTTCACCACAAAAGGCATAACAGTTAAAAACCACTTTATAGTGAGTTTATTTTTCCTTATGGGTGAACTATACCTTTAATTTCAGCCAATTGAGCCATAAATCTCCACTTTAGTAATACTAACACGCAGCAAACTTGCAAAGTTTTATAGATACTTATTTTCTGAAAGTTTTAACTTAGAGATTTTGTATTAAGAACGTATCTAATTATATACTTTTTCTTTCTACGCAAAGTTTTGACATTTTTTTCTTTTGGCAATTCAAGTACTATCTGAATAATAAGGAAAATAAATCCCCAATTTTCATTCTGTAAAGACAACTGATACTATGTCAAAAGAAACCAATACAAATGAACCTGACATCATCCAGATTTTGGTCTCAAAATGTTTGCAAATTCAAATTAGTGCAAATATTTAAATGATCCTTCATTTGCATATAAATATAATCCAAAAAGTATATTATAACAAATATTGCAATTATTAATGTAATAAATAATGAATAACATTAATAATGTAACAAATGCAGTATGTTAAAAAGGTATAAAAAAGGCTCTTTTTTTGTACCTGTGTTTTGGTACAGCCGTCACACTCTGACCAGTCTCCATACGGTCCCCATCTGCAGTTTAATGGCTGCTCACACCTTTCACAACAACAGCACGCCAAGTTAATAGATGAAAAGTATGCAGCATAACCAATGCATACAATGATGTTTTCAAGTTGAACTCACCAAATGTAAGGCAGAAACGTGAGAAGAAATATTAAAGAGGACTGAGGGCACATCTGAAAAACACCAGTGTTATAGATTGTTTATAATTTTTTAAAGTATTTGTTAATGTTATGTCATTATATTTCAATTTTATATATGTGAAAAAAGGGGGTTTTCAAAGGGGGCTTTTCAATTGTGCTGTCTGGTAATGACTATAAATCATATATATTGACCACGACTTTTAGAAAACCAGAATGAAGAATGAAGAGAGGACATGCAAACTCCACACAGAAACGCCAACTGAGCCGAGGTTCGAACCAGCGACCCAGGGACCTTCTAGCTGTGAGGCAACAGCACTACCTACTGAGTCACTGCATCGCCCCAGTTTAACAATTGTAAACAAATTTCTTTGGACATTACAACTGAAATAATTTAATGACATATTAAAAGGCTATTAAGGATCAGAGTGCAATTTCAAACTAGTCATTTATTGTCATTATAAATATTTATTCTTAGTCATTCTTCAAAACACTGAGATTTAGCTATATTTATCAGCAAGAAGTTGTAATTATGTAAAACATTTAGTGTGCTGACTTATTTATTTTAAATATTTTAATAAGTACATTAATTACACAATTTACTTTTATTTACAGTAATTTACATGAATATGTCAGAATTATTAGCACCCCCCCCCTTTTTATTTTTCCCCCAATTTCTGTTTAACTGAGAGATTTCTTCAACACATTTCTAAACATAATAGTTTTAATAACTCATTTCTAATAACTGATTTCTTTTATCTTTGCCATGATTACAGTAGATAATATTTTGCTAGATATTTTTCAAGACACTTCTATACAGCTCAAAGTGACATTTAAAGGCTTAACTAGGATTATTAGGTTAACTAGTAATTAGGCAAGTTATTGTATAATGATGGTTTGTTCTGTAGACTATCGAAAAAAAAGAAATAGTTTAAGGGGGCTAATCATTTTGACCTTAAAATGTTTTTTAGAAAATTCTAGCCGAAATAAAACAAGACTTTCTCCAAAAGAAAAAATATTATCAGACATACTGTGAAAGTTTCCTTGTTCTGTTAAACATAATTTGGGAAATATTTAAAAAAGAAAAAAAAAATGTAAAGAGTGTTTAATAATTCTGACATTAACATATATATTTATTTGTTTTTACACAGTTGCTTAAAACCTGCATAGATTCTTTTTTCCGCAACGCATTTTCAGACATAATAATTTTAGTAACTAATTTCTAATAATTAAATTAATTTATCTTTGCTATGATGATAGCACATAATATTTTACTTGTTATTTTTCAAGATGAAAGTCCAATTTAAAGGCGTAGGTTAATGAGTCGTCATTAAACAAGTGGTTTGTTCTGTAGCCAATCTTAAAAATCTTAAGCGGCTAATGATATTGACCTTTATAATTATAATTTTTATTATAACTAAAATTAACAATATTTTCTACAGAAACAAAATATAATTTATATATACTGTAAAAAAATTCTTTGCTCTGTTAAACGGAAATTTAATTTTATTAGTGTTGTGTCACTGACTCACTTTCGGTTTCAATTTCACTTGAGGTCTTAGTTATTTTGACATAAGCTTTAGTCATTTCTGTTCCTTTTAAATAGATTTATTTTGAATTTTTAGGTCAACTTTCAAAATTATATTAAAACTATTAACATTAAAAAACTATCCGGCCATGACTTAAATTCTCTACATCCCAAATATATTACATTTCTGCATAAACAGCTCCTTACCTTAATGTTGTAGATGCTGCAGAGTATACAGGTCAGCATTGATGGTCCTGCTCTTATACTGGGGTTCCTACATTGATTTTGACGTCATTATAGCACAGAAAGGAATTCCCAGCATGACTCAACTGCTGGACATTCAGTGCCACCTCCTTATGCTTACTGTGCCAGTTTCATTTCTGTTGCCGCCCTTTCACAATCTTAAATCCGTCGATTTCAGTAAGTGGTGTGAGTATGATGTTCTTGGGCTGTTATTCTGGGAAATAAATGGGGTTCATTTTGTATTGTAATGAGGAGGGTAAACTAGTTTGTCCTAAATGCATGTGGAACACATAGACCTCTGTTTTTTTTTTGAGTTGTGCAATGTTTGTTGTCCAAGTCGATGACCAATCACTGACTAACATGGGGTCAAAACATCCACTGAATGCTCTGTTTGTGTGTCATAATACAGCTTTGTTCTGTAATTCAGGACATCAGTGGGATTGCTGTTTACACAATAGTGAGCAGCATCCTATACAGTAGTGAAAGAAATGACTGTGCTTACAAGGCAAATGACTGTATTACAAGTGGTGTTATAGAAGTAAACAAATCTTTATCAAGTATAGTAATTGCACAGCTGCATTATTTAGTGCTGATTATAGCTTTTGTTTTTGGACAATTAACAAAAACTGACATTTAGAGATACACAATATCCAGTAGACATTGAAAATGTTTGGTTTGTCTTTATTTTAAGGTTACTGTGTACAGTGCTTGCATCAAAAACAATAATTAAAATGCTTTATATTTTTATTTGAAATTTGGATAAAATGTTATCTTAAATCCAAACAGACGATTTTAAAGGGAGGCATGGCACCTACACCCCTAAACTCAACCATCATTAGGGAATGAGCAAATCATATTAAATTTTACAAACAAGACTACAAATTCATACAAATTAGCCACTAAATCAAAAACTTATGAATTGTTGTGAGATTGTGTTGAATAAATCCAGTAAATACAGAGAACCTTAATATGGGTTTCTTGGATAACACTTTACAGTAAGGTTGTATTATTTTACGTTAATTAATTAATTAACATGAATTAGAAATAGCAAAACATCTTTAGCATTACTTATCCTTTGTTAATGTGAACATGGTTAATGTAAACATTTGTTAGTTAATGCATTAATTAACATGAACTGATGGTAAACACATATTAGCATTAGATAATCATTGTTATGGTTAACATTCATAGTCTAATATATCTCTTTAGATTATCAGTTTTGTAGTTGCTCCAACTTATTTTTTTCAAATTATCATAATAACATATTTCTAGTTGCCCTAACTTAATTTGTTTAATTCTTTTAGCCTTTTTTATATTCTCATAACATAAACTTTCATGTTAACCTAACTTAATTTTTTTTTATAATTTAGCTTTCTAGAAGATTGTACTGTATAGTGCTGACTGAGCCACTTGTCATTGTTCATATTAACTAATGTATTAATTAGTATTTTTATTTATTTTATTTTTATTTTATTATTTATTTATTTATTATTTTTAGATCATGTTATCTAATCCACTAACAAAAATTAGTGTATGTGTAAACATTAACGTAAGTAAACATTAAAGAAATACATTACAAATTGATTAAGCTACTGTATCATTAAGAAAGATTAAGTAATGCTAAACAGATGTGTTGTTTATTGTTAATTCGTGTTAATTAACCCATTAATGAATTAACACAACCTTATTGTAGTCTAATCATTTCTTGCCATGTAAGTGAGATATAGTTTATTCATTAATTATATATAATCGTGATTATGTAAACAGATTGCAAAAATTAAATACTTATAAGTTATATTATATTTTAAAATACTCATAGTATCGTTACTTTTTATTATTTAATATATTCGTTCATTCATTCATTTTCTTTTGACTTCCTTAATTAATCTGGGGTTGCCACAGCAGAATGAAACACCAACTTATCTAGCATATGTTTTACGCAGCGAATGCCCTTCCAACTGCAACCCATCACTGGGAAACACCCACATACTTCCATTCACACACATACACCATGGACAATTTTATTTTAAATTCACATACAGCATATCATTGGACTTGTGGGCGAAACCGGAGCAAACACGAGGAGAACATGCAAACTCCACACAGAAATGCCAACTTACCAGCCGAGGCTCGAACCAGCGACCTTCTTGCTGTGAGGCGAGAATGCCACTCACTGCGCCACTGTGCTGCCCTATTTAATACATTGCTAAATAAAATAAGCTGTTCTCCTTAATTGTTTATTTCAATAGTTTATCTTCTTTTTTATTAAACATCGGTTGTTTATGCTCAGAAATTGAGAGGCCACAAAGCATCTTTTAAATAGCATTTTATTTTGACTGGTATTTTCCAATATTTTGTTTAGTGGGACAGTAACAAAGAACAAATATATTTCTTTCTCTTTGTATTCTTATAGCAATGTGGTACAAGATTACTCTTTCTTTATTTCAATTACTGTGACATAATTAGGTTTTTATGCCACATTCAGAAATGCAAAGATATAAAAAAAAAAGAAAAGAAATGCAAAGACATTTTTCAAATGTGCGCAGTCCAGTCCTCTGTCTCCATCTGGCTGTGTCTCAGCAGACTGACAGAAGCTCAACGCTACAAATCCTCATATCTGCTGCATTGGTCGTAGGTTTTGCGACACCTGAAAAACACCAGAATAACTTAACAGATATTCTGTACACAAACCTTCAAAAGTTAAAGTGAGAAAGAAGCACATTTAACAGTGTGATGTATAATGTTTGATTTCTTTCCCCATCACCTATATGGATTTACACTGTTATGTTTTTGAGTAAAACATATTTTTTTATGAACTGTATCATTAATTAGTCTGATTAGTAAATCACAGCACTTATATCGAAAGGTGAATAATATTAGCAGCTTGGATCTTGCAATCTGCAGTTTTGCCATGATTGTCACCCAATTGAGCATTTGTTGTTTTTTTTTTTCACTTTTAACAGATCAAAAGGATATAATCAGCTCTGATCATGAGTGTCTTCTGTTTGCTGAAATCATTTACTTTTATCAGCCACTAATGATGATTCAGTATGAAAATGAAGGATTATATGAATGTAAAATGCCAAATGAAATTACATGTAAGATGTATAAAATGAAACACGTAATGTGATGTTGACTTAGATATTTTGCACCACACACAACACTCATTTTGCTGATGTGAGAGGGTTACGAAACACACGGTTTCAAATGCACACACTCTTATTTACAGGATGACTCATTTTTAATCACATTTACCTCTTCAGCATAGCTCCTACTGAAGTAATTCAACAGTTATGACTAACACATTCTCAGAAAAATGATATTTTAAATTCTAACACACCTCATTAGTTTAGTAAACATGTTGTGCTTTAGTAATTGTAGCCCTGGTTTTACCTTTAATGCATTTTACTGGACTTAAAACATCAACCAGGGAAACATTGCTGTTTACTGCTGTTTTATTCTGACTGTCTCTTCTATCTAATAGCTATTAAAATTTAAGCTTGCCCAATTTACATATGAACATAAAAGATCTATCTATCTATCTATCTATCTATCTATCTATCTATCTATCTATCTATCTATCTATCTATCTATCTATCTATCTATCTATCTATCTATCTGTCTGTCTGTCTGTCTGTCTGTCTGTCTGTCTGTCTGTCTGTCTGTCTGTCTGTCTGTCTGTCTGTCTATGCTTTTAAACTAAAACTATAGCAAAGTTTAAATCCCATCTGTGTGCTTCAACAATAAAACAATCAGGATTTCTGCAGGTTTCCCCAAGTCAAGACATTTTAAAGACCATTAAGAATGCAATTTCAGACTTTTACAGAGCTAAACACTAAGGTTTTCTTTTCAAAATGACCAGAATGACCAGTGTTAAAGATTAGTACTTTTTCAATAAAAGAAAATCTAATTAAGATATTTATACCATATATTACAAATAATAATTCAAACAAGCTACAGTAACTTTAGTTGTACACATACACTTTTTTCCCCAACATAACTTTTAAAAATGGTCACGTTCTAAAAACTATAATAAATTAAATGCTGTCACAACAGTCTGTAAAGGTCAGTGTCCTCAATAGGTAACTACAGTATAAACAAATATTTATTAAGATGGATTATTCATGATTGGATAGGTGTTGCTTTAGATAGAAATGGGAAATTTAAGAGCTGATTAAAACAATTGAAGACCTACAACACAATATTTAAGTGATTTTAAGACTTTAAGGCCTAAAATATGGTTTTTGAAGTGTAAGACTTTTTGACCCAGTGGACATGCTGATGTGTGAATTGAAAGTTGCTGCAGACTTTTATTTAAATATGATCAAGTTCAACTAAGTAGGGGGGCTGAGTTTTGTTTTGTACTCCTAGGCCTGTCACCATATCTATTTTTTGTTGTAAGCTATAGTGCACCAATATATATTGTTATAAACAATATTATTGTCATTTAAAGATCATTTTATGTTGTTTATTATATAATGGCAGAATGACAATATAATATTACAATGCAAGTACACTCTTCCTAAGAACACATACTATTTCATTTTTAGGAATATTTATTAGTCATTTTAAAAGTTTAATAATTAGCACTGGAATCAAAATGTGAAAATGCATATCCTAAATTATTGAAGTCATGTCCATGTGTTGTGCGATAAGTCAATATTTATTATTGTGAAAGGCCTATGTACTCCTCCTCTTACCTTTCACTCGCAACAATCTAATGGTTGAAAGGGTGTAGCTAATCATATTTAATCCAAGCTGTCAAACTGACATCAGAGAAAGACTGCTATTCCAGTGAAAGCAAATGGTCAGATTTTCATTTAAGATTACAAAATCCTTTTATTAACTCACAGGCTAGAAAAATAAACATTGTAAATTATGATTTCACGTGAACTTTACGAATTAGATCAGTAGACAGAGAGTTGCTGGTCTTTTGTGACCTTTTGAACACTTTCAACCAGATCCAATTGATTGCATCTTCAACTGCCTTTTGTTTACATTTAGTTACATTCAGTGTCATACAATTGTGACAAGATAATCGAAAACATTCTATCTGATTTTGGCTCTAACTTTATCTGGTTTTCACTCTACTGGTATCTTAATACCAGTGGCCCTGTTTAAAAATAAACAGAGCCTGTGAGCCTCACCTCAAACTCTGTCCCGGTACAGGCTCTGATGTCATCTGGTGTCAATCCTTGCAGAATCTCAATGAGAGTTAAACCCTTGCTC